AGGGGATCGTGGGGGGGGGTATTTTGGGGGGGGCAAGGGGGAGTCTCGAGGGGGAGTCAAGTCAAACCGGGAAATAACACCTAGGGGTTTAAAAGGGATGCCTCAGAAAAGGGCCTAGACTGAAGGGGTCCTATGGGAAAGGGCCCAAACCGGGAAGGATGCCTCAGGGGAAACCTAACCGGGAAAGGGACCCCACCAGCCTTTTCCGAAGGGATCCACCGCATGCCTTTTCCGGAAGGGACCCCACCGCATGCCTTTCCGAAGGGGTCCCCCGCCGCTTTTTTCACTACTTATAAAATTATATATATATATATATATAAAAATATATAAAAATATAATTATTAAATATATATATATAATATTTTTTTTCCCCGATTTTAAAATTTTAGCTTCTTTTTTCCCGATTTTTTTGAAAAATTATGAATTTTAGGATTTTTATAGAAAAAAAATTTAGCAAGAATGTTTTTAATTTCCTGTAGCTGATCACAGTGCACTCAGCCCACACTCAGGTCCAGGGGTTTGAATCTCCTTCGGTTGGGTAAAACTTTAGTTACGTGTTTCCTAAACACCCGTTGTCCCTGTTTTTTCACCATCATTTAAAATGGGGATCTTGATAGCTGACTGGGGCGTCGCATCCTGGGCAAAACTACCCAATTTTTCGGGAAATGCCACATAAAAATGCATAAAATGGACTTTTTAAAAGTAATATGTCACGATGTCATAACAAGGGGCTTTTTTGTATTCACATTCAGCAAAGAACTTATACCCTTTTATTTGTAGAACATAAATAATTACTGTCATAAAAAAGTTTTTGCTTTTGTATTAGGGCGAGTGCCAATAAACTTCTGGGATGCCAATACTAGGCAAATTTTTGCCCCCTTCATTTCGTAATGTATATTTTTTTGCATTTTTTGGGTTTGGGCCCTCTACTGAAACCCCATATGAACATACATGTAAGATTATTAAATAAAAAGAAAAAAAAAAGAGTGGATTGAACGCAAGAAAACAACAACAAAAATTCCTGATATGGCAGCCCTGAATGTCACCATGAACCCGCTAAGCATCACCACTGCCCGCTGTAATAGCTACACCACAGCCAGTTACAATACATTAAGGGTCTCTTGTGAGGTACTCTGTCGAAGGCTTTACTAAAATCCAAATATACAATATCATATTCCTTATCACTGTCAACTGCCTCAAATGTTCTATTGAAGAACGTCAGTAAGTTTGTCAGGCAGGAACGACCTCTCGTGAATCCATGCTGAGATTCATTTATCAAGTTATGCTCTTCAAGGTGACTTCTGATAATGTCAGCTATAATTGATTCTAATAACTTGCCCACTATAGATGTCAGGCTTATTGGACGGTAATTTGAAGGAGTGGACTTATCCCCTGATTTGAATATAGGAACCACATTAGCCATCTTCCACAACTCTGGCACAACACTGGTAAGGATGGACGCATTGAATACACTCGTTAATGGCTGACTTAGCTCCATCTTGCATTCCTTAAGTACCCTTGAAAACAACTCATCGGGTCCCGGGGACTTATTTTGTTTCAGTTTGTCTATCTGTTTATCAGCATTGGTTGCTGAGTGAGAGTGCAGCATTGGGTGATGTGCGTTGAAATCTCCACCCACAATAATACACTCAGTGCGTGCTAGTGCGAGGAGCTCTGCAATGTCGAGGGTGTGTCGTGGGTTCTTGTAGATGTTATAGATGGTAATGGGCGCCCCAGGTATGTGCACAAGGATGGCCTGTACCTCGACATCCCCCCCACAGTCCACAGGGTTGGCTATAACCTCGTGAGGTATTGTATTGGATACAAATACAGCTGTGCCTCTGCAGTGAACGCCCGGGTCCCTGTGCCGAAAATACCCAGCAAAACTGGGTAGTTTTGGGCACATAGTCGGACAGTCAGAGTTTTCTTGTAGCAAGACGATATAAAACCCGTTTCCCGAATTACTGCCTCCAGCAAGAGGTGCTGTTTGCCCCTCAGGCCCTGAATGTTCCACTGTAGGACCTTGAGGGTGTGATTTGGTTTACCGAGGTTATTCCATCGATGTTGTTTCCTGAGCTGGAGACTGAGTCCCTGCCCGCTCTGAAACCTGCAAATTCATTGCATCCACTGTCTCCCTTCGGTCAGAAAGCACACTCTCAGGAGCGTACTGACCATCTGCTGGAATGCGCTCTGTTGTTTCCGTGGAGTTGATTGTGTTGCAAATAAATCTGTGAACACCTTGATGAGTGCTACGAGATCCTCCCTGGTGAGGGCCTGCTTTGGATTTGGGGTTCGAAAAAGGGATATTATCTGGGTTGTTGTGGTCTGTAGGGACTGCTGAGGGTTGGTTTTTTTCTTTATTGTATACACGTGGTCTGTTGCTGTATACCGGGTTGGGTACCCGGGGAAATGCTGGTGAGGTGCCAGTTGAGTCTGCAAAGCGCCTGTGCCGGTAAGGAGTGCCTCTTTGTCGTGCTATGGCCGGTGGGGGGCTCGTTTAGTGCTGCCTGCTGATCGCATTGACCAGATGCACCCTGTTAAATGCCTCCTGTTCCTCTTGTTTCTGTTTCTTCGTTGAGGTAGGGGTGCAGGAGGTTCTTGACCTTGACGGCTGGTTGAGGCTTCTAGGGTTGGGAATTCCTGGGCATTGACTTGGGTTAGCTGCTGAGAGATCTGCTGTATGGCAGGGTTCTCTGCACCCATCGTTTGCTGAGAGTGATGATCCGTCGTAGCCCGTTGCCGAGTTTTTGGCGTCTTCCAGACTTCTTGAATTCTGGCGAGCCTCTCTGAGCATCGAGGATTCCAGGCATGGTGTTTCTGCCTGCAGTTCGGGCATTGTGGAGTGGGTGGCGATGCATTTTTCAGCTTGGTGATGCATTCCTCGGTAGGGTGGTGCTGGCTGCAGACACCGCAGATTACTCGTTCGGACAGAGTGCACCCAGGTGTCCATAACGCTGACACTTGAAACAGCGAACTGGTTCTGCTGTGAAGGTCCTGACATCGTACCTGCCCCAAGAACCGAGGACCAGCTGGGATGGCAGTGGTCCTACATGCTGAATGAGGACCTGTCGGGTTGGTGCATTTTCCTGCCGTCTTTGCCTTTAGACGTTGAGCTGGGCACCACACTGGGGTGAGCTGCTACTGCCTCGATGGGCATCATCCCGCGGGGATCGCATCACTACACCCTTGGTGATCTTCTGCCGAGAGTCCAGTTCCTCCAGGGTGAATGAGCGATCTGTCTCCATGACTCTCTTCAAGGTGGTTAACATTTCCTTTTGAGAGGAGTCAATATTGGTTTCCCCCTCAAGTTGAACCATATTTTGAACTTCAGGTTGTGTCTGATTCCAGGTATGAAACAACCCCATAGTGGGTTTTTTGTGGTCCCCGTAAGACTTCACCTTCAATTTGCCAGGGCGGTTGAGCTGGTTTGCCTGCTCCTTTGGAAAGGATGGCGCTTCTTCTTGTTGTCCACAAATGTTCCATCCCTCTTGGTTTTCGGGGGGTGGGGTGTTATTTTCCGCACCTTTTCTATTGTCGATGGCTCCATGGTTGGGACTGTCCCGATCTGCTACAATGTGAGCAGGATCTTCCTCTTCCTCTCCCCAACTTCTTCGCTAGAATTTCCCCCACATTTCCAAATCTGAGTCCTCCGTCGGTTCATGGAGCATCGTGACCTCTTCTTTCGGCAGAAGCCATGTGCCTATCTTGTGATAAGGTAGTGAACTCCGTGAACTGAGTGTGTCAATGATTGTCGTGGCTTATATACCTGTAGTGAGGTGAGGTGAAGCAGGCAGAGTCGGGGTCATAGTGGTACCATCCACTAGTCGGAAGTAGGTCTTCGTCCAAAGGTTGAACAAGTGTTGAAGAATCTTTTGTAACAAGATCCCATGATGCTGCAGTGTCTGACAGTTGTGATGAATGGTTTGAAAAGCCGACAAGTTGAAGATTGAGACACTTATGCAGCATATGGGAATCTTTATTCAGGAAACGTTTCGCCACACAGTGGCTTCATCAGTCCAATACAAAGAGGAAGGCGTAAGGAGAGGAGGAGAATGAGGTAATCAGTCCCTCAACCTGGAATCGATGTGTTCCAGTCCATCAATCTTGTTAGAATGTACAGCATAGGGCCGTAGACGTGGTTTATATACTGTAGTGAGGTGGGGTTTGAAGCAGGCGGAGGCGGGTCATAGTGGTACCATCCACTAGTCGAAAGTGTCTTCGTCCAAAGGTTGAACAAGTGTTGAAGAATTCTTTGTAACAAGATCCCATAAATGCTGCAGTGTCTGACAGTTGTCTGTCTGACAGTCGAGTACAGAAAAGTTGATAGAAGCAGAAGATATTTGAAGACGATGAAAATCAGTCCATCACCCTTAAAGTTTTGGGGTGGTCAGTTCTTCAAAACTGAGGGACTGACCACCTCAAAACTTCAAGGGTGATGGACTGATTACATCGTCTTCAAGTCTCTTCTGCTTCTATCAACTTTTCTGTACTCGACTGAAAAGCCTACTGTGTAGGCGAAACGTTTCGAAATAAAGATACCTAACTGTTGCAAAATGTGTCTTACCTAACAACCTGTCGGTATTTTATACCATTTTAATGTTCAATAAAATTAAAATTTTAAACATGTAAGCAAACACTATAACTATTTTATTAGAAAACGTTTCGGCCCTGGGACCTTGATCAGAAGTGATCAAAGTCCAGGACCGAAACGTTTTCTAATAAATACGTTATGTGTTTGCTTACGTGTCTTTCTAAACCAACTTGTCGGTATTTATTACCAAGGTTTATACCCAAAAAATAAAACATAAAATATGTCTGCAAAATAATAAAATTTCTGAGGCACAAAATATGCTGTCAGTTAAATAACTACTACTTATTACGATTAAAGGTTCAAGGTTTCAGCCCAGAAACAGGAATTGAGTGCCGACCTTTAACCAACATCCAGATGTGCTTAACCCCGGGCTGTCGACTGGTGCCAGAGATAAAGCCACCAAATCTGGTCGCTACTATGCTGGCATGTAACTACAAGTATTGTGTTGAAGCTCCACAGAACCAAGAAGCTGAGGTGAATACTATGTAAACACAGCAGCTCATTCTCTTAATGTGTCAGTATTTCACTGGTGCTAAGACAGTCAAATGAGACTGTCTATGAACCTTAAACAGGAATTATCTGACTATTATAGAATGTGATTTGTGGATTTTTTGCTCTCAGTTTGCACTTTAAAAACTTTTAACGCCTCTCTGCCTTTGTAAAAAAATTTAATTTGCTGCTTATTATTAATGGGTATAAATTTAAAATAATGGAACCTTACCTAATGACATTCTATCTTAGACTAACGATAGCTTACCTAACCCTATCTAACTATGTCTGGCTTCCGGCACAAGCATGTCATGCCTAAAGATTTTATCTCGTAATGGTCTTCAATTGCATGATAGAACTGATGAATTGGAGTTTACCTGAAGAGGGTTTTCGGGGGTCAACGCCCCCTCGCCTCGGTCTGAGATCAGGCTTTGTGGTGGATCATATTGGTCAGCTTGCTCATCACTGCAAAATACACGTATATTCCGTGCAAATTGGGGCAGCAAGGCGGAGAGTCACTGCAATATGGAGGGTCTTAGGGTCGAGGTGCATTCCCATTGCCTAAATGGGAAATATTTGGAGGAAGTCCCCGGAGTGATGTTGCAGTCACAACTTGGAGACGAGCAGTCTTCCTACCCGATTTTACAGCCCTAATCATGTTGGCAAGCACCTTTTTAGCAATGGGGCCATCCCAATATGACTATTTGTAGGCCAGTGCTGCACTACCGTTTTGGTGCTGGAGCAGCAAGAGTCTCCCATTCAATGATGCCCTGGAGTAGTTAGATCATAAGAACATAAGAAAGGAGGAACACTGCAGCAGGCCTGTTGGCCCATACTTGGCAGGTCCTTTACAGTCCATCCCAATAACAAAATATTTGCCCAACCAAATTTTCAATGCCAACCAAGAAATAAGTTCTGATACTCTATCCACTCTCATATGCAAGTCCCACTCAAATCCACCCCTCTCACTCATGTATTTATCCAACATGTATTTGAAACTACCCAAGGTTTTAGCCTCAATAACCCAACTATGTAAACTGTTCCACTCATTAAATAGAGTGAATATCAAATGGTATACAATACCGACAGGTATTGTATACCATTTGATATTCACAATGGTGATGTGTACTTAGCTCTGTGAAGACCTGTTTGTGTGCTCTCTGTGAATCTGAACCAGGATGCCCCTCTTTGAGCAATTTTACAGCAGCTGAAAGAAGAGCTTAGGGTTGCTAAGCAGGAGATACGGCGATTAACGGAGGAGAACAAGAGGATTCGAAGTAATCCTCCTGTTGTGAGTCCCCAGGTTAAGAGGGAAGCTTGGTCAATGGCCGGGCAACATAGAACCAAGCTGAGGACCAAGAAGACTGTTGGAGAGGCAGAAACAAAGAGGACCCAGAAGACTAATGTGGAAACTTCCAACCCATTTTCGGTGCTACCTGACGAATGTGGGTGTTCTACTGGGAATGTCACAACGAGCACCAAGGAAGCATTGGCTGACGTGAGTGAGACATCCCTAGAAACAAAGTTGGTAGAATTACCGACAATATGTAAAGTAAAGGACACAAATGCAACTAATGTGACATTTATTGTGGCAACATTTCGCTCTCCAGGAGCTTTATCAAGCCATTACAAACAATACATGTATGTATGTATAATGTTCGCCAAGACCATAGTCCTAGCACGGGTCCCAATCTTGCGATGACCCGTCTCTGGCTCCCGATGGAGAAAGGTTTCCACAATGATGCAACGCATGCCGCTCAAGCGCCCCTCTGGTCAGTTCAACTGGTGCATCTCATAAGCGACCCATATGTAACTAGGACACTAGCGAGGAGGAGATATGTCATTATCACAGGTAACAGCTTGTCTGGTTCGTTGATCCAATGATACCTAGGGTGCCGCAGTCATCTCTGGGCCCCTCTTCGGGAGGGAATATCAACCCCTAGTTGCCTTTTGGAGTGTCTCAAAGCTTCACACTCTAGAAGAATAAGGTTGTTTAGGGGCCGCTGGATACGTGCTGACATACTGGCACATCTCCTCCTCACCTTGTCTACCTCACTTGGCTGTGGGAAAGCCCCAAACGAAGCGAGGATTGGCGGGTTACACTGCGCTCTGGACCAGCTTCATTACATATGGAGGGGGTTCCCCCTGAGTCGCTTGCCCCGGTACCAAATGTTGAGATAAGGGTATCACCTAAGACCTCCCCCTAAGTTTCGTGGTCTGGACCCTTGTGGGGAGCCATCTTAGTTAAATTAGGCTATACATTTAAAATATTCATGTTGATGAAGATAACATTCTTGCAATAGAAATGACAACGTCTCATGGACAAATAGTGATAGGAACTGATATTTTCCCCCGAGACGCCATATATAGAGTCAATTTCCTCTACATAGGTTTATTAAGCAGGAATATTCCAACATTCTAGCAGGAGATTTTAATGCTCATAAACCCTGCCCCCTTTTCAAATGTGGAGCTGGTGTTCCACTGGGTGACTTGAAAGGAAAACAACTCTTTAAATCATGACAGCTAGAAACTTGTCTTTTCAAGGCCCATTCTTTAAATCGTACATTGGACCTCATCCGGGGAACACCAGATATAGTACTGACAAAAAGGGGGACTGTGACATCTTTCACTGTCGTATACTCCTGGTGGAAATGTAGATCTGACCATATCCCTGTTATAAAAAACTACAAACTTCTCCATTTAGAATACCTGAAACTCCTAACCCAATCTTAACACCCTAGGATATGACCCCTTCAGGCATATCTGGGTGATGTTTGAAAATTGTGTCATTGAAAAAATCTACCTTCCAATGCAATTGATGATGCAATCCGGTCCCTACACAATCGAATTATTGAAGCTACTAATGCAACTTGCCAATTAGCTTCCACAAGATATACCAACAATATAAACCTACTAGGGAAATTAGAGACAATTTAAGAAATTATCAAGCAGAATGTCGAAGGCATCTTCAAACGCGACAAACCACCAGCAGCTACACTGCCCCGATTAAGGCACGAATTAATTAACATGATTATCAACACAAACGGGACATATGGAAATTTCTAGTTCTTCAAGCTATCAGTATAAACGTGAACCAGCAAAATTTTGGAGTAAGATCCGACAACTTTTAGGGGAAAGCCCCCAAGGTTTTCCTAACTACCTAGTTCATACCTTCACTGACGGGGATGGGGAAGATGTTGAAATTAAACTTGACGATCCACAGGACCGGGCTAATTTGATGGGTGATGTATGGGAGAAAATTCTCTCCCACAATAACAGTCGTCAATTTAAAAATAATCATTATCATTAGTAAATGAATGGAGAGATGAGAACTTGGATGATCTACAACCACTACCTTTTCCCTCGATACTTCAACTCTTGAAGTTTCCCACCCGCTTACTAGACCTATTACATTACTAAGAAAGTCAGGTTATTTGAAGAATGAGAAAAGAGCCCCTGGCCTCTCTGGAATAACAATGAAACAAATAAAGTTCCTAAACCCCGAAAATTGTTAAACAGTCTTTGGTAAATATCTTTAATGCCATCTTTGGGCCCCAGGACATTTTCCAGTGGTTTTTTAAGACTGCTACGATGATCTTTCTTGGTAAGCCCAATAAAGACATCCACCAACCTGGGAACTATAGACCTATATCTTTACTTGAAGTCACTGGAAAAGTTCTTGAGAAGATCATTTCCAACAGACTGAACTACTATATGGAGTTTAATCACTTTTTTACTGAAAAACAATTTGGCTTTAGAACACATAGAGGTACCAATCATGCAATAAATGTTATTTTCGATACTGTAGCAAGTCTAAAACATCAGGGGAATCTTGCCTTAATTGCCACCAGAGATGTTCATAAAGCTTTTGATAGCTTATGGCATGATGGCCTTATATACAAACTCATTGACCTACCAGACCATAACTGGACTTTTCTCAGATTAATATATAATTTCTTAACTCAACGAAAAATCATTCCCACCTTTCATGACAAGTCGACAGAGCCTTTATACCAACAGCTGGTGTCCCACAAGGTTCTTGTCTAAGTCCAATTCTGTTCAACTTTATGTGAATGACCTTCCTCAACCAGAGTTTAATGATACAATTGTGACACAGTTTGCAATGATGTTATTCAAAGTCGTCTCATCAACTCCGGTAACAGGAAAATACAAGTATGAGAGAGTCATAGAAAAAATGAATATTGAACTTCGTAGAACATCTAATTAGGAAAGAAATGGAGAATTACGAAATAATCCTGACAAGGGTCCTTGTTAGCACGATAGGATGTTTTGCATCAACAATTGAAGAATAAAGGGGGTATCTCCATCAGAGGGACACCTGTAGCCATTAGAAACCCTAAAAAAGTTTTTGGATATGAAATAGACAGGCTGCTCCACTCAACATCTCATTTTAACTAAAAAAGATCCCAAACCCGCCAAAGCTGGTCTTTGCGACTCTTTCGATTCAATCAAGCCCCTCAACATGTCAAAAAACATCTGTATAAAATGATAATAAGACCAATACTCGAATACCCTTGTGTCCCAATGTCATTAAAAAACAAAGACCAACATGCTACGGTTACAAAGGGTCCAGAATAGAGCTCTTCGCTTATTATCGATACCAGAAGGAGAGACAGAGTTAAAATGGCAGATTTACACATACAACAAGATATTACTGCCATAAATGTACGCCTTGACACCCTAAAAAAGAAACAACTTTATACAATGCAAGAACTATACATGCCAGATAGAGAACATCCTATACAAGTGGTAAATACCACAGATTATACCATCAATACTCCTCCCACAGGACTCAAAAAATGACTCTCCCACAGAGGGTCCGTCGTTTTATACATAAAGATGATTGCCCTCGACCCATGATATTGAGCAACCTCCCTGATGAAGAAGATTGGGTAACACCAGAACCCTTCTATGTACACTGAGAAAATCATCGCCCCCAGTTAGGGAGACATCTTATATAACTT